AAGGAACGTTTCATTGGCTTAATGTTTCGACCTTTCTCTTCTTCTTCAAGGCCTGAAAATGGCTCGAAGCTTTAAATTTGCAAGCTGTCCGCCCCGACGCCATCCCTACACTAGCTCTTCCGGCCTCTGTCCACAATACCTCTGAACAACCCGTCGAAGATTGCCATCAGCACAGCGAAGGTTCGCTAAAGCGGAGCGTAGCAAATTTTTCGGCAGAAGCAATTGAAAATCGATGTTATGCCGAGGTTACAACAAAGCAGAACATTCTGGTTATTCAGTGGTTTGTTTGTTCAATTCCTCCGGATCTAAGAGAACGAGTTCAGAAGGGCGCAAACATATTCCAAAAAGGACCACTTATTCCTCTTGGGCGATAGGAAACGCTCCAAATAGCTAATTCGCATTTTCGCGCAACTATGTATTCTGTACTGAATACAGTCAGGAGATTACGTAATCTTTAAGAAACTCTCTGATCGTCTCAGCTTAAGCGTAACTAGGAGGAACTAAAGTACGAGTTGACAATACAGTAGTTCAATTTAACCAGCACTCATGAAATAGGTCCCACATACGATTTTCATTTGAATTTCAACATATTTGCAAAGGGTTGTGAACGATTTTTGGAATGAATCGCAGTTATCAGATGATGATCGAATCGGCGTTTTTATAAATTTAGATGAGTCTGTTATCAATAAGTCAACAAAAGGTAAACCGCATGAAGTACAAGGTGCAGCGTACAGCCCTTTGAAGGACGCCATGCACTGTAGTTCCAGTAGAATCGCAGTGGCATCTTGAATGCTCTATTGGCTTATACAAAGGCTGGCAAAGCCGGCCGATGTACAGGTCAGTCTTATTGTCCCTCATACGAGTACCAATTTACAGCTCTTGGAGTAAGGGAGGGCTTGGTTAGCTCAAGCAGGAGTCTAACAAGGATTTGACCCATGAACCGCGCGCGTGATAGCGACGACCTTCGCCCATGGACCATATCCTATCGTAATAAAGAAAATACACAGAAAGTAGATCAGTTTCAATAGATACGTCTCGTCATCCTGAGACGATTATTTCTATCTCCTCTATCGCTGAGACGTCAATTCGGCTAACAAAAGGAGAAAGTAGGTGAAGGTCAAACTAAAAAGGAAAATGACTTATTCAATCTTCATGAAGAGTGAAAAGAATGAAAACAAATGAATCATATTTTAACATAGCAATAAACATGTGAGGTCAAATTACGTTAAAGCCCGTAGTTAGGTGCGCCCGGTATCGCGACGACTGCATAATGTTGTAAGTTTGAATCAATGGTTATTTTCGAAAAGGTGATTCTGAGAAG